TCTCAGTCTCACTGGTGACCGCATGATGTTTGCCCTCAAAAAGGCCAACTGAGGTTGGTGCTATGTATTCTGGTCCATGCAGCTTCTTGTTGATAGTAGCCTAGGAAATATCTATCAATTTGCCCCGAACCATAATTGAGTTTAGTAGACCCCAGGTGCTGGCAATGTCTTTCTGTCCACATTTTGTTGTATTTGTTTCCGCAGCAAAGTTCATCAGTGTGGCTGCATAAGATGAATAAAATTCTCTGGCCAGATGGAAGTATTCTCCAGGTGCATTGTTCATCCAGTCGAACTGATAAAACTAAAATGTCCGATAAATGTCGGGGAATGCTTTGATATCAGCTACCACCACCCTAGTTTCAGGCATGATTGCCCGCTTCTTGAAGCCTCCAGTCTTAGTTACAATACCATTGTTGAAGAATTCTTCGGATCGGTTCACAGTCCACATGGAACGGAAACAATCAATTAGCTATTGTCACGCTACAGGATCAGGTTCATGGATGTTCACATAAAGCACCATGGTATCATCAGTGGTGATCTCTATATCCTCATCTATAGCATTTGCCTCCTCTCGTACTCCAGTTTTAGCTTCTGTATTTACTGCAGGTGGAGAGGTGTTTGTATCTTCCTGAGAGCCGTTTTTAGACTCTGCACTGCCTCCCGACCCATCATCCGACTGGTTTCCCAAAGCAACATCAGATTTACTTCCTGATTCCTACCCGCTCCCGAAACTACTACCTACCTCTTCAGACTGGAGAGGAGTGTTCTGGAGGATATCCCTAATTGTTGTGGATCTAGTTTCCCGAGGTGGATGATCGTCAGGTGTAATATTCATTTATACCTCCGAACTACTAGATTCAGAATCATTATGGCCTTCCGATTTAGATGCAGTAGGGGAGGAATGTTTGGTTGCATTTTTTCATCGAGGAGACATAATACCTGAGAAACACAACACTCATTAGTACAAAAATCAGTAAAATGACACACTATCGGGTACTCAGACTTCTCCTGTGTAATTACAACGTGACGCCTTACCTTAAGAAAGTCGTCACCCACTCTATCATTGGGAAGGGCCACATAATCAAAATATAGAAAAGGAATAAAAGTACAGAAAGTAAAGTATTCAAAAAAGTAAACTCTACAGGAGATCCCATGGGCCGTGGTAAATACCATGGTCCGTTAAACCCCTCCTGGATTTATCACAGACTTAGTGTGCAATAGTGGCTTGACCAAGTAATATTCACGAACGATTGCACGACCCGTGGAGTGAACCACAGTCCGTAATACTGCCCGTGAAGATAAACAATAATTACATGAAATACCCAAGTATGGTCCACGAGTGGTTTCACCACTCGTAGTGGTTTCCACGATCCGTCAGTATTCTGTGGGTATGAATAGGGTATATGTGTGTTGAGTGAATAGTGTTCTTGTTGGCTTGGAGCCTGTTGAAATTAAGTGGTGTTAGTAGTCACGTTGTAAACCTCTATTAAAAATAAGGGTAAAAAATCCTATAAGTGAAGTTGGGGAAAACACTGACCGTTATTGTAACACCCCGGAAACTAGTAGACCAAACTAGAGCCTCAAGCTAGGCTTCTAAGGTTTGATGTATGTGATTAGAGTCGTAGATAAGACTTTCCGTACTTTGAATGAGGGACTTAGTAGATGAATGTCAAAATACGTGTTAGATCCCATAGTTTAGAAGACTATCTATGGAATGGTATAGGGTTGCAAAGGCCTAAGCTATCTAGGTAGAATGAAAGGGAACTTGTTCTCCTAGGAGTCTAGTTGGTGATTGGGCAGCTTGATCGCCCAAGGCACTTAGCGATACGCCAAAGGGCACCTAAGGTCGCCTAGTGGGATGTCCCCTTTGTCCTTGATTCTGGAATAAAGGGCGAGCTAAGTCATAGCTCGCCAACCTACTTGGCGAATCGCCCAAAAGACCCCAAGATCGCCTAGTAAAACTGCCCTATTATTGAGCTTGCTGGAAATTTAGGTGAGCCAAGGGTCCACTTAGCGAGCCGCCTAGTGCCCTTGGCGAGCCATGGGGGTGCAAAGGGAGAGGTAAGACGTGAAGCCTAGTAACTTTTAAGTTAAAAACGTTCAGGGTCCCTAATCTTTACCAAAGTTGACCCTACATTATTCCATTCCTTTCCTAACATATATATAAGCTTATTAGACCTATGTTTACCTCATTTATGCCATTCAACCTAGAATTAAAAGAAAACCCATCTTCATCCTCTCCATAGAATATTTCTCTCTCTAAGAAGAACCTCCATTGAAGAAGGAGATAAAGCTTGAAACTTAGGTCAAGAACAAAGTCCATTATTGAGAGCTTTCTTTAGGGGTTTGATTAAAGGTATGTTTAGATTTTAATCTATGGGATCTTCCACCCATAGAGTGCCCTAGAAGCCCCCAAGATTTGTGAAGAAGCCCAATCTAAGTTAGGGTTACTTCCAATGTATGGGTTTTAGGTGGGTATGATTTCAAAGTGTTGGATACTACTCATATATAATTAATTTGGTATTGATTCATGATATTATGAAGAATTTATGTGAATTCCTTTTCTAACCCTAATTTTCTAAGTATATGGGTTTAGATCTTTTGATGAGAAATTGATGGTTCTTGATAGATTTTCTAGAGTTATCACCATGAATAGAACTTATCTAAGAATGAGAATATGAAGTCATGATTGAACTAGACTTATGCATGTATGATAGAATATTAATTGAATGATTAGAATTGGGACTCTATGATGAATTATGAATAGAATTGTCTATGATTAAGACTTGTGAATGATATGTATTGTGATCTAGACTAGTATGTTGATGGTGGAGTAAAGCTTGAATGTAGGGCTTGAAGTCATAATGTTGATCACTAGGGCTTATAGAGTAAGTCTAATATGAGGATATAACTTGCATGTATGTAGAATGTGAAAGGTATTATCACATAGAATGATTCTAGATTGAAAGGCTAATTACCTAAAATGAATCATGCTTGTTAGAATATAATAGCTTGAAGTTGAGCCTTATGATTCCTTCATGTATAGTTGAATTATGTAGCTTGGGATGGTAGATCTCATGGTAGCTTGGGATGGTAGATCTTATAGTAGCTTGGGATTGAGGAATTAAGCTCTCCTAAGGTTAGCTTGAATTAGCATTGGTTGGATGCTTTTCATGGTAGCTTGCATTAGTAAAGGCATGATAGCCTAAGATTGAAGATTTATACTCTCATATGGATAGCTTGACTTGGTTAGGCCAAGGCTATTTCATGGTAGCTTAGGATTGAGACACCACACTTTCCTAAAGATAGCTTAGGGTTGAGGATTCATACTCCCCTAATGATAACTTGCATCCTATTGAATGATTGTATGGTAGCTAGGTTGGTATACTTGTATCCTTCCTAGGATAGCTTGAATTGTATGGTAAGGTGTTTTCCATGGTAGATAGTTCTAACATGGTAGTATGTTATTCTTTGATAGTTTAGAATGATGAATAGTAAGCATTGAGTAAGCTAGCCTAAAGGAGTACTTGGTGTGAGTGGTAGTATGGGATGCCACTCATACATGACACAAGTATGACTTGAAGCTACTTATGAAGTGTTCTCTTATGTAAGGTATGTCTGGCTTGGATTGTTGCTATAGTTGTCTTCCATGATATGATTGACTTAAGTTGATAATTCCTTGTCAATATGTAGTAGGTCTATAGTGACACCTAGAAATGGTAAATACGAATAGGGTGACTTCAAGATATACTTAGTGTGTGTGGTATTATGGAATGCCCCACATGCATTGCACAACTGTGCCTTGAGGTTACTTAGGAGTATAAGTGCTCTCATGATATGAAAACCTAGGTCTTGACTATGAAGGTGGACTATGACCAAGAATGACCAAAGAGAGGTACTTAGCTAGGATAGTATTATGGGATGCTATCATTGCCTTGCACAAGTATGCTTGGAGGTGGCTTCTGGAGTAGTTCTCTTAAATATGATAGACTAATGGTTGAAGTATGAATTTATGTTGACTTGTGATGATATGATGCTTATGTTAAAGTTTATGTTATGAATATGTTATTGTCTCTCATGTTTATGTCTTATGTTGACTAACCATTTAGGATGTTTTATGTTGGTATGTTAGCTTTCATACTTGGTACATTTTGTACTAATGCATATTGCCTACATTGTAATCAAATGTAGGGTGTTGGAGATTGAATTGCTTTGGAGGCTAGGTTTCTAAGGTACTTGAAGACTTGAAGAATTGGTGAGTCCTCATAGTTTCGAGGACAAATCCACTATGTTCCTTTTATGTCATTTCCTATGTTTTAGACTTATTATGGGTTGCGTCCCAAGACTTTTATTCATGCTATTCATAGATGGTTTTGAGACATGGACTTAGTAAAGACGTCCGCTTTTATGAAATGTTTTCGATAGAATGTTTTAAACAAAGTTTTAAATTTTTCCTACTTTTCTATGATCGTATGTTATGTTGACGCTAAGGGCTTGTATTAGACCCCTTTGGGGTTGAGTACACCATGTTACATCTCGGGGGTACCCATGGGTCATGACAAACTTAGTATTAGAGCATAAGGTTTTGGGATAAATGTTAGGATGTCTCAAACCACATCTAGTATAGTCTTATTCATGGGTGTGAGTCGCGACACATTTATGAATAGGAGGCTATTGGATGCTTAGGAAAATTCTCACTTCTTCATTCTCTTAGTCGTACCATAGAGTTTGGCTTTAGTAGGACCTTCTTCTAATTTGTGCCCGTTATTTTTCCAAGTATGGCTAATACAAGGGTGAATGCTAGGAGAAAAGGGGAAGACAATGGAGACCAAGAGATTCCTCCCCAAGTTCCACATCAAGCTCCTTCTCAAGTTTCTAATGACCCTCCAATTGGGAATGTCACTGTAGAGGAGTTTAGGGCTTCTATGCAATTATTGGTTCAAGCCTTGACGGCGCAAACCAATTGAGAGGTGGTGGCTCCGGCAAACCCTATAGGGGGAATGGGTGCTTATAGGATTAGGGAATTCTTGAGGATGAACCATCCGGAGTTTAGTGGCTCCAAGGTGGAGGAGGATCCAAATGGGTTCATAGATGAGGTGTATAAGACACTTGCTATCATGGGGGTAACTTCTAGAGAGAAAGCGGAGCTAGCCGCTTACCAATTAAAAGATTTTACCCAAATTTGGTATGAACAATGTAAAGATGCTAGGCCGGTAGAGGCGGGCCCTATAGAGTGGGAAACTTTTAAGTTGGCATTTCTAGATAGGTTCTTTCCTTGGGAGTTGAGGGAGGCTAAGTTGGAGGAGTTCATAAATCTTAAGCAAGGCAATATGAGTGTCAATGAGTATTCCTTGAGGTTCACTCTTTTGTCTAAGTATGCTCCATCTTTGGTAGCAAGTCCAAGGGATTTGATGAATAGGTTCATGACGGGGGTGTCCGATTTGGTATAAGAAGAATATTAGGCAATGCTTGTTGATGATATGGATATTTCACGCCTCATGGTGTTTTCCTAATAAATAGAAGAGTCAAAACTCAAGAAGGAGAAGGCTAGGGAGAAAAAGAGGTCTAGGGTGGATAATGATGGGTCCGATGGACATGGTCGTTCTAAGAATCAACATAAGTTTTCCAGACAAGGCTATTCCAATGCTCCTAAGTATAAGGATGATAGGGTGTCTACCCCTAGGCCACAAAGGAAAGGTAGTGAGTCCCTATGGCCCACTTGTTCTAGGTGTGGTAAAAGGCATGAGGGTAAGTGTTTGGCTAGTAGAGATGGTTGTTATGGATGTGGTGAGAGTGGCCACATGAAGAAATATTACCCAAAGGCAAAGGCAATTATAAGTGAGGGTAAGCAAGTTGCCTCTAGTGGTGCGGATTATGAGCCTCCAAAGAGGAATAGATTTTATGCTCTCCAATCCAAGGATGATCAAGAGTGATCTCCTCATGTCCTTTCCGGTATGTGTTTTATGTTTTAGAAAATTTCCAGATTTCTTGTCTTTTATGACTTGTTATGTTGGACTTGATGTTGTCCTTGTTTGAAATGATGTCTAGAAAAGCATGTGTGGGCTTACTCCCAAGGGGGAGATAGTGTGCCCATTCCATAAGGCCTTTACATGATTATGTGTTGCCATAATTTCTTTGAATGTATGTTTATGAAGATGTGTAGGCCTTGTTAGAATTGATATAATTGCATTGTATAGCCTCTTATTGTAGCATCTTTGAGTTGATGTGCATTTCTAGACACCACGAAGGTATGTTGAGCATGTTGTAGCTAGGAGATGTTAGTTCCTCCTTGGAAATAGGTATGTATGTCTCGTACATGCATTTTGAGTTGGTAGATGTAGTTCCTACTTCTTTGAGTTACATTAGGTATAATTAGCTTGGAATAGAAGTTTCCTTGGTTGGTTGTGTGCATGTAGATGTAGTGTATGCATGATGGACTGCTAGTCTAAAGTTACTTCTTTTTAAAGGTGTTTAGAAAGGTCATTCGAGGACGAATGTTCCCAAGGGGGAGATATTGTAACACCCCAGAAACTAGTAGACCAAACTAGAGCCTCAAGCTAGGGTTCTAAGGTTTGATGTATGTGATTAGAGTCGTAGATAAGACTTTCCATACTTTAAATAAGGGACTTAGTAGATGAACGTCAAGATACGTATTAGAACCCGTCGTTTAGAAGACTGTCTATGGAATGGTTTAGGGTTGCAAGGGCCTAAGCTATCTAGGTAGAATGAAAGGGAACTTGTTCTCCTAGGTGTCTAGTTGGCGATTGGGCAGCTTGATCGCCCAAGGCACTTGGCGATGCGCCAAAGGGCACTTAAGGTCGCCTAGTGGGATGTCCCCTTGGTCCTTGGTTCTAGAACAAAGGGCGAGCTATGTCATAGCTCGCCAACCTACTTGGCGAATCACCCAAAAGACCCCAAGATCGCCTAGTAAAACTACCCCATTATTGAACTTGTTGGAAAGGTAAGCCAAGGGTCCACTTGGCGAGTCGCCTAGTGCCCTTGGCGAGCCATGGGGTGCAAAGGGCTAGGTAAGATGTGAAGCCTAGTAGTTTTTTAGTTAAAAACGTTTAGGGTCCCTAGTCTTTACCAAAGTTGACCCTACATTATTCCATTCCTTTCCTAACATCTATATAAACTTATTAGACCTAAGTTTATCTCATTTAAGTCATTCAACCTAGAATCAAAAGAAAACCCATCTTCATCCTCTCCATAAAATATTTCTCTCTAAGAAGAACCTTCATTGAAAAAGGAGATAGAGCTTGAAGCTTGGGTCAAGAACAAAGTCCATTGTTGAGAGCTTGCTTTAGGGATTTGATTAAAGGAATGCTTAGCTTTTCATCTATGGGTTCTTCCACCCATAGAGTGCCCTAGAAGCCCCCAAGATTTGTGAAGAAGAACCCCAATCTAAGCTAGGGTTACTTTCAATGTATGGGTTTTAAGTGGGTATGATTCCAAAGTATTGGATACTACTCATGTATGATTAATTTAGTATTGATTTATGATATTATGAAGAATTTATGTGAATTCCTTGTCTAACCCTAATTTTCTAAGTATGTGTGTTTAGATCTTTTGATGAGAAATTGATGGTTCTTGATAGATTTTCTAGAGTTATCACCATGAATAGAACTTATCTAAGAATGGGAATATGAAGTCATGAATTGAACTAGACTTATGCATGTATGATAGAATATGAATTGAATGATTAGAATTCGGACTCTATGATGATTTATGCTTAGAATTGTCTATGATTAAGGCTTATGAATGATGTGTATTGTGATCTAGACTAGTATGTTGATGGTGGAGTAAAGCTTGAATGTAGGGCTTGAAGTCATAATGTTGATCACTAGGGCTTATAGAGTAAGTCTAATATGAGGATATAGCTTGCATGTATGTAGAATGTGAAGGTATTCTCACATAGAATGATTCTAGATTGAAAGGCTAATTACCTAAAATGAATCATGCTTGTTAGAATAGAATAGCTTGAAGTTGAGCCTTATGATTCCTTCATGTATAGTTGAATTATGTAGCTTGGGATGGTAGATCTCAAGGTAGCTTGGGGTGGTAGATCTCATGGTAGCTGGGGATTGAGGAATTAAGCTCTCCTAAGGTTAGCTTGAATTAGAATTGGTAGGATGCTTTTCATGGTAGCTTGCATTAGTAAAGGCATGGTAGCCTAGAATTGAGGATCTATACTCTCCTATGGATATCTTGACTTGGTTAGGCCAAGGCCATTTCATGGTAGCTTAGGATTGAGCTACCACACTCTCCTAAGGATAGTTTGCATCCTATTGAATGATTGCATGGTATCTAGGTTGGTATACTTGTATCCTTCCTAGGATAGCTTGGATTTAATGGTAAGGTGTTTTCCATGGCAGATAGGTCTAGCATGGTAGTATGTTATTCTTTGATAGTTTAGAATGATGAATAGTAAACATTGAGTAAGCTAGTCTAAAGGAGTACTTAGTGTGAGTGGTAGTATGGGATGCCACACATACATTGCACAAGTATGACTTGAAGCTACTTATGAAGTGTCCTCTTATGTAAGGTATGCCTAGCTTGGATTGTTGCTATAGTTGCCTTCCATGATATGATTGACTTAAGTTGATAGTTCCTTGTCAATATGTAGTAGGTCTATAGTGACACCTAGAAATGGTAAATATGAATAGGGTGACTTCAAGATATGCTTAGTGTTTGTGGTATTATAGGATTCCCCATGATGCAATACAGATTGCCCCCAAACCATTCGTTCACGAATTTCAACATATTGATGGATCATTCTCAAGGATGGAGGTTCATAGGCTTGGGAAATGCGCTTTAAAGGAGCTCCCAGCTGAGCAACACCCTGTGTGGATGATAGCTCTAAGCGTGGGAGGTCCAACGAGGCAAGGAAGAGCAAAGAGAAGTGTTGCTCCATTCGGCGAAGTGCCAGCCGCTTTGGCAACTCGCCGAACCCCTTTGGCGAAGATTCCAGGATTGCCGACTGATCCAATGAGCTGCAGAGAAAGGCTGCCTATTCGGTGAGCATGGAGGACATTCAGCGCATCACCCTTTGAGCCCCAGACCGCCGAAAGTTACAGCAAGCCATCCAAGGAGAAGCCAATGAACAGGGTTCTCGCCGAACCCATTTGGCGGATCGCCAATCCATTTGGCGAGCCCGACTTGGCTCGCCCATTGGCCCATTTTCGGGTCACTTTTGGTCCCATCGATGTAATAATGCCTAACACTATAAATAGGTGTCTTAGGGTTCATTTTAGACTGAGATTGATTTTAAATATTGTGGTTGTAAACCTAAACTCCTTGTGTGAGTGTTGAAAGCTTGGTAAGATTTTGTTGAACCTTTTTTAGAAACGAGGGTAGCTTGGGATATTGATTCCCTCGAGGTCTTTGTAAGAGTTATGTGCTTCTTGACGGATTAACGAGGTGAGGTCTTTGGGTTTAATATACCCTTAGGTTGCTCTTTGTTTCCTCTTGTTGTGTCTATCTATTTATCCAGATTTGGTACTTGTTAGGATCTAGATTGGAGGTTATTGGATTTAATACATCCTTTAGTTCCCAATTGTTTTTTATCTTGTGTCTCTTCTTCTATCTTTCTTGTTTTCCGCATATTATCGAGATTCTTCTTGTGAGAATCGTATCACCCCACATGCATTGCACAAGTGTGACTTGAGGTTACTTAGGAGTATAAGTGCTCTCATGATATGAAAACCTAGGTCTTGACTACGAAGGTGGACTATGACCAAGAATGACCAAAGAGAGGTACTTAGCTTGGTTAGTATTATGGGATGCTATCCTTGCCTTGCACAAGTATGGTTGGAGGTGGCTTCTGGAGTAGTTCTCTTAAATATGAAAGACTAATGGTTGAAGTATTAATTTATGTATGTCTTATGTTGACTTGTGATGATATGATGCTTATGAATATGTTATTGTCTCTCATGCTTATGTCTTATGTTGACTAACCATTTGAAATGTTTTATGTTGGTATGTTAGGTTTCATACTTGGTACATTTTGTACTAACGCGTATTGCCTACATTCTAATCAAATGTAGGGTGTTGGAGATTGAATTGCTTTGGAGGCTAGGTTTTTAAGGCTCTTGAAGACTTGAAGAATTGGTGAGTCCTCATAGCTTCGAGGACAAACCCATTATGTTCCTTTTATGTCATTTCCTATGTTTTAGACTTATTATGGGCTACGTCCCAAGACTTTTATTCATGTTATTCATATATGGTTTTGAGACATAGACTTAGTAAAGACTTCCGCTTTTATGAAATGTGTTCGATAGAATGTTTTAAAGAGAGTTTTAAATTTCCCCTACTTTTCTATGATTGTATGTTATGATGACGCTAAGGGCTTGTATTAGACCCCTTTGGGGTTGAATACGTCATGTTACGTCTAGGAGGTACCCCTGGGTCGTGATTGTTATGAAAGAGAAACTTAAAGGAAACCCCGACCTTTAGCACTTAGGAATCATATATGCATTCAATTTCATTTTAGTTGCACGCGTGGGTGGGGTCGGTTCACTGGCAATACTGGGTTGTGGACGACAGACCGTGAAAGTGCCCGCGAAGGTCACCACGGTCCGTATAGTTGTTCGTGGAACTGACTTGGGAAAAAATACTTACATGTGGTTCATGAGAGGCTAGGCGGTCCGTACAAATCTTGACGGACCGTGAACCCTTTTGTGAACCTTATTCTTGCAATTTCAAGTAGCTCCCTTAAGTTGGTCCTTAGATTGAAGGACCGTGAAGTTGCTCGTGAAGGGCACCACGGTCCGTGAAGCTGCTCGTGAAGAGCTGTTTGCACCCAATTCCTGCAATTTTTAACCCCAGTCTCTCCTGCACATATCAACACACAATGAATCTATTAAAACAAAGAAAAATACCTATTACAATTACATATTGGGTTGCCTCCCAAGCAGCACACAATTTAACGTCGCGGTGCGACGCAAGTTACTTGATTACTCAGACTTCATCAAGTTTACATTCCTCCACAATCTTCACATCTTTTGGAACACCCAAGTATGCCTTGATTCGCTGACCATTGTCTTTGAACCTCTCACCCATGTCATTTTCAAGCTCAATAGCACCCGACTAGAACACCTGAGTAACCTTAAAAGTTCCAGACCATTTGGATCTCAATTTTCTCAGAAATAGACGAAGTCTGGAGTTGAAAAGTAACACCAAGTCACCAGGAGTAAAGGTTCTCTTCTCAATATGCTTATCATGATATAGCTTCATCCTCTCCTTGTACAGTGTTGACCTCTCATATGCTCTCAACTGGAACTCATCCATCTCATTGATCTGATCCAGTCTCAGGTATGCAGTTTCACTCCAACTAAGGTTCAGTTTCTTCAAAGCCCATAGTGTTTTATGCTCAAGCTCAACCGGCAAATGACATGCCTTTCCAAACACCAATTGATATGGAGACATACCAATAGGCGTCTTGAAAGTTGTCTGGTATGCCCATAGAGCATCATTAAACATTTGTGCCCAATCTGTCCTATTGGCATTCACTGTTTTTGCCAAGATTGCCTTTATTTCTCTATTGGACACCTCTTCTTGGCCACTGGTCTGCGGATGATAAGGTGTTGCAACTTTGACCAGAAGCGCACTAAATACCTTGTTGCAGAAATGGGAACCGCCATCACTAATGATAGCTCTGGGTGTGCCGAACCTTGAGAAGATATGCTTCATCAAAAAACCAACAGCACTCTTGCCATTATTCTCAGGCAAAGCGACTGCTTCGAACCATTTGGACACATAGTCCACTGCCACCAATATGTACTTTCTGCCTATAGGAGCTCACAAATGGGCCCATGAAATCGACTCCCCACATATCAAACAACTCCACCTCCAGAATAGGTGTCGTGGCTAACTCATGGTGCCGAGAGATGGCTCATTGCCGCTGACACACATCACAACTCCTCACAATGTCTATCGCATCCTGATGAATTGTGGGACAGTAGTACCCACACTGAAGTATCTTGTGGGCTATCCGAGCACCTCCATGATGACCACCTATCGGAGAGGAGTGACAGGCTTCTAGAATATGTAACATTTCAGCTTTAGGGATACAACGCCTGATGATGTTATCAACACACATCCTGTATAGATAAGGTTCATCCCAAAAATACTTACCCACATCATGCATGAACCTCTTCCTTTGCTAAAATGTCATCCCCTCAGGCATCAAATCACTAACAAGAAAGTTAGCAAAGTCAGCAAACCAAGGAATAAGGTCAAGAGTATCGGCTAATACCTGCTCATCTAGGAATGAATCATTTATTTCTAGTTCACATTCCTCTTTCTTTTCAGCCTTCAATCTAGACAGGTGATTAGCCACCTGGTTCTCACAACCTCTCTTATCCTTGACTTCAAAATCAAACTCTTGAAGCAGTAACACCCATCTGATTAACCTTGGCTTGGCATCTTTCTTTTCCATGAGGTACCTCAAAGTTGCATGATCCGTATGGACTATCAGTCTCGGACCAAGCAAGTAACACCACAGCCAGTAGTTCATGTTCAGTAACTGTGTAATTTCGTTGTGCTCCATTGAGTGACTTACTAGCATAGTAAATCGGATGGAACATCTTGTTGCGCTTCTGCCCCAACACAACTCCTAAAGGATTACCACTAGCATCGCATATTACCTCATATGGCTCAGCCCAATCTGGGCCAATGATCATCGATGTAGAAATCAACTTCTCCTTTAGGTATTCAAAAGCTCTGAGACATGCCTCATCAAAAACAAATTTCACCTCCTTCTCCAAAAGCTTGCACATGGGATATGTAATCTTAGAGAAGTCCTTGATGAAACGCCTATAGAATCTGACATGTTCTAAGAAGCTTCAAACACCTTTTACACAGATCGACAGGGGTAACTTTTTAATCACCTCAATTTTGGCATTGTCGACCTCTATCCTCTTTTGTGACACCTTGTGCCCAAGAACTATGCCCTCTTTGACCATGAAATGGCACTTCTCCCAATTCAGCACTAGGTTGGCTTCATCACATCTCTGTATGGCCCTGTTAAGAGTAAGCAAACAGTCATCAAAAGTATCACCTACCACTGAAAAATCATCTATGAAGACCTCTAAAGTGTCCTCCACCATCTAACCACTTGATGATCTCCTTTTTGACTACCTCTTGCATAGGTGGGTTTAGCCTCCGCTGGTGTTCAATGCTTGGGATGCAGTCCTCCTCAAGTTGAATCTTATGGGTGCATATACTTGGAGGTATCCCGATGATATCAACAAAGGTCCACCCAATGGCCCTTTTGTACCTAATCAACACTTTGATCATAACTTGAACCAATTCATCATTCAAATCTGCAGCAAAAATCACAGGTAAAGTGTTGTTAGCTCCCAAAAATACATACCTTAGGTGACTGGGTAACTGTTTTAGTTCTAGCACAGGTGGCTCTTCAATCGATGGTTTTGCTGGAGGACTTGGCTTGTTTTTCAAATCCAGGTCCAATTTCTTTGGAGCATAAGAGTGTGGTCCCACACCCTGCAAAGCATTCACGGTCTCTACATAGTCAGATCGGAAATCAACTTCAAAATTCAGCAGCAATGTAGCTAAGGTTTCAACAGCCAGCCTCTCCTTAATGGTTGCTGACATTTCTTCTTTATCAAAAACCTCTATCGCAGACAACACATTCATGTCATGTGGCTGCTTCATGGACATGCAAATATTGAACTTTACCTCTTCTTTGTTGAGTTTGAATTTCAGTTCTCCTCACTCAACATCTACCAATGCTCGCCCTGTGGACAGAAATGGTCTTCCCAAAATAATGGGGACCTTAAAATCCACTTCGCAATCCAAGATCACAAAGTTAGGCGGAAAGATGAACGTGTCCACCTTTACGAGCACATCACATAGGATGCCCACAGGTCACTTCACTGACCTATCTGGCATCATCAACCTCATGGATGTGGGTTTTGGAACTCCTAACCCAGTTGCTTGTAGATGGCCAGCGTCATCCAGTTTATACTGGCCCCTAAGTCACATAAAGCCTTTGCAAA